GTGGGGTCGGGATTGGGGTCAGGATTGGGATTGGGGCGTGGGGTCAGGATTGGGGTGTGGGGTCGGAATTGGGGTCAGGATTGGGGTGTGGGGTCGGGATTGGGGTCGGGATTGGGATCGGGGTGTGGGATCGGGATTGGGGTGTGGGTTTGGGATGGGACGAGGCTATGGGGCTGGGATTGAGCTGTGGGGCCGGAATGGGGTGGGACAGGGTGGGATGAGGGTGTGGGGCTGGCAGCTCCTGTAGGGCTGGGCTGGGTCTGTGGGGCAGGAACGTGACAAGATTTTGGGGACAGGAATGCCACCCTTCCCCCAAATCCCATCCCAGTGTCTCCCCCCCTCCACACCACACCACTAGCCATGAAGATCCCGGTAGCCACCCTGCTATTCCTGCTCGCCGCCGGCCGCCTGGGGGCCGCCTTGGTCCGACGAGACGTGGCCAGCGAGGGCTCGGAGCCCGCGGCCAGCGAGGATTTCCTGACTCGCCACTTCCAGAGCTTCTCCGAGTTCGTGACCCGCGAGCTCCCGCAGAAGCTGCGGGCGGAGGAGCTGCGCAGCCAGGCCGAGTACGGGGGTTGGGGGGCTTGGGACCCCCTCCCCTGCCCGGGACCCCTCCCCGTGTCTCTCTGACCCCTCCCCGTGTCCTACAGGCAATACCTGGACCGGGCCAACAAACAGCTGGAACCGCTGGCCCGGGAGCTGCAGAAGAACGTGCTGGGGCTCTTCTCGTCCCTGCTGAGGCTGGGCAAGGATGAGGGGCAGGGGGACAGCCCCTGAGACCACCGGGGTGGACCCCAAAACTGTGCTGAGACCCCCGAGGTGGACCCCAAAACAGCGCTGAGAGCCTCGGGATGGACCCAAATACAGCCTGAGACCCCTGGGATGGACCCCAAATACACTCTGAGATCCCATGTTGACCCAAATACACCCTGAGACCCCTGGGATGGACCCCAAATACACCCTGAGACCCCTGGGATGGACCCCAAATACAGCCCTGGACCCCACATGGATGCCAAAACAGCCCTGAGATCCCACATGGACCCCAAATATACCCTGAGACCCCCGAGATGGACCCAAATACAGCCCTGAGACCCTCACTCTGGACCCCAATCCAGCCCTGAGCCCATCGTGGGATCCCCAGCATAGCCCTGAGTACCCCCCCAAATCTCCCACTCCAACACAGCCCCCCAACCCTGGCCCCCCGATAGAGCCCTGAGCCCATCACAGACCCCCAAATAAAGCCCTGAGCCCCCCAGCGTGTCCTTGGATTGGGGAGGGCAGGGGGTCCTGGGGCTGGGGAGGGGTCTCTGGGGCTTTGAGGGGGTGTCAGTGAGACTTGGGGGGGGGGGGGTCCCTGGGGATATGGATGTCATTTTGGGCTGCAGGGACTGTGTGGGGGTCCCTGATGCTGGGGAATGTCCCTGGGCCTCACAGAGGGGTCCCTGTCACTGTGGGGAGGGGGTCCCTGGGGTGGGGAGGGGTCCCTGGGCCTGTCGGGGGTCCCTGTCGCAGTGGGAAGGGGTCCCTGGACCTGTCGGGGGTTCCTGAGGTGGGGAGGGGTCCCTGGGCCTGCTGAAGGTCCCTGGGGTGGGGAGGAGTCCCTGGGCCTGTCGGGGGTCCCTGGGCCTGTCGGGGGGCGTCTCTTGCTGAGCCTCGACCAACTCATTCCCATCTGCCAGCACTAAAGATGGCGGCGGCGCGCCCTCACGCGCAGGGCGTGCCCTCACCCAAGATGGCGGCGACGTCGGCGTCGCCTTCCCGCCACTCCCTGACAGAAGATGGCGGCGCGGGGCCGGGCGGTGGTGGCGCCACGTCACTTCCGGTGGGGCGGCATGGCGGGGCCCGGCCATGGCGGAGGCGGCGGCGCGGCGGGCGGTGGCGGAGCTGCCGCTGCTGCGGGCCCCGGCGGGGCCGCGGGACCGTGAGGGCTGGGCCGAGCGGCTGCGTGAGGAGTACCGGGCACTCATACAGGTGCGTCCGCGGGGCCCGGCCGTGTCTTCTCCACACGTTTCCCGCTTGGCTGTGGTTCCGTTCATCCTCGGTGCTCCCGCCGTGTTCTCATCCCTCACGGTTTTTCCCTCGCTGTTCCCTCTCAGGCCAGCCCCGTGTCCCTCCCGGTGTCACCGATCGCTGTCCCCGCCGTGATTCCCCTCGGTGTCCCCTCAGCCCTTCCTCCCTGTCCCTTCCTTGGGGTCTCACCTCCGATCCTCCCCCATGTGTCCCCCTGTCCACCCCGTCCTCAGTCCCGAATTCTTCCCGGTGTTCTCCCCCCCTCTCTCCGGTGTCGGACCCTCCCCCGGTGTCCCCCGGGTGTTCCCCCGATCCTCCCCGTTATCCCGTTACTGCCTCCCCCCAGCCCGTTCCCCACCGTGTCCCCCACCCCCTGTACCCCCCTCGAGTGTCCCCTCGATATTCCCGATGTCCCTTCTCGGTGTCCCCCATCCCTGTGACCCCCCCGGTGTCCCCCCCACAGTACGTGGAGAACAACAAACGCGCCGACACCGACTGGTTCCGCCTGGAGTCCAACCCCGAGGGCACCCGGTGAGTGGGGAGGGGGCTCCGGGACCCCCCCAGAACCCGCCGGGACCCCCTCATTCCGCTCCAGTGGTCCCCGGGATTGTGACACTTCCCCATTCCGGGGCTGCTCCGGTTCCCGAGGGGTCCCAAAACCGGGGGAGGGGCGGCCAGGAACGCTCCCGGGACCCTAAAATGGCATTGGGGGGAGTCCCGGGACATGAGGGGGGGTCCTGGGGGGGCTGCTCAGTGATCGGGGGGGGTCCAAGGGGGTGCTGAGTGGATTTGGGGGGATCTGAGGTGATTTGTGGTGGGGTCCCAGCGGGTGCTGAGGGGCTTTGGGGGGGTCTGAGGGATATGGGGAGGGTCCCAGGGGGTGCTGAGGGGCTCTGGGGGGGGTCTGAGGTGCTTTAGGGTGGGGGTCCCCGCACTGAGGGGGTCCCGGGCCCCCCCAATTTGCCGCAGGTGGTTCGGCAGGTGCTGGTACGTCCACGAGCTGCTCAAGTACGAGTTCAACATCGAGTTCGAGGTGAGGAGGGGGCTCCTCTGGGGGGGGGTCCCGGGGTTGTGGGGGGGGGGCACAGGGGAGTGCTGACCCCTCCTGACCCCCCCCCCCAGATCCCGGTGACGTACCCGGGCACTGCCCCCGAAATCGCCATCCCCGAGCTGGACGGGAAAACGGCCAAGATGTACCGGTGGGTCTGGGGGGGCCGGGGGGGAGTCCTGGGGCTGGGGGAGTCATGGGGAGGGGTCGTGGGGGGGTCCTGAGGCGGGTCTCAGAGTTAGGGGAGGGTCCTGGGTCTGGGGGGGGTCATGGGGAGGGTCTTAGGGAGGGTCTTTGTAAGGGGATTTGGGGGTTCTTGAGGCTGAGGGGGGTCCTGGGGAGGGTTTGGGGGTTAGAAGGGTGGTCCTGGGGGGGTCTTAGGGGGGGTCCAAGGGCTTTGAGAGGTGCTTGGGGGGTGGTTCTGGGGCTGGGGGGGCCTGGAGGTGGTCTTGGGGTTGGGAGGGGGCCTGGGGAGGGGTTAAGGGATAAGGGGGGATCTCCTGAGGGGGGTCCTGGGTGGTCCCAGGGCGGGGCTGATGGGTCCCTCCTGCCCCAAAGGGGATTTGGGGGATCCCGGGGTCTCTGGGGGGGGGTCCCGGGTGGGCTCGGGGGGGTCTGACGGGTCCCTCACCCCACAGGGGAGGCAAGATCTGCCTCAGTGACCACTTCAAGCCCCTGTGGGCCAGGAACGTCCCCAAATTCGGGCTGGCACATCTGATGGCCCTGGGGGTAAGCAGGGGGGGTGACACTGGGGGGGTGACAGGGGTGACACTGGGGAGTGTCACCTATGTGAGGACACCGGGGAGAGGTGACACCCTGGGGGGCATGGGGAGGTCACCCATAGGGGGGTGTCACCCCTTGGGGGGGTGTGGCACTGGGGGGGGGCTGTCACCCGTGGGGGGAGGATGTTGTGACATCAAGGAGGGGGTGACACTGCCCCCCACGACAGTGACCCCTGTCCCCACAGCTCGGTCCCTGGCTGGCCGTGGAGATCCCGGACCTCATCTCCAAGGGCCTCATCCAGCACAAGGACAAGTGACCAACGGAGGGACTTTGGGGGGGGTGGCACCCCCCCATTCCCCTCCCAGCTGCTCCCACCCCTCCCCACCGCTTCGCTGCTGCTCCCCAATAAAAATTCAACCCCGATTTAGCCGCGGTTTGTTATTTTGGGGGTGGCACGGAGGGGATTTGTCCCCCCCCCGGCGTCCCCCCCTTATCGCTGCCCTACAGAAAACCCGCGCGGGTTGCGGCCCCTTTAAGACGCCGCGCGGTTTCCATGGCGACGCGCCGTCTGGGGGGCGTGGCCTGGAAGGCGGCGCGTGCGCAGAGCCGCCGGCGAGGCCGCCGGGGGCGGGGCCGGCTGAGGGAGGAACAAAGATGGCGGCGGGTGCGGCGGGAGTTGTTGCCATGGCGGCCCGCGGGAGGTGCGGGGGGACCGCGGGGCGACCCCGCCGAGGGGCGCAGGGGGTGCAGGGGGGTGTCGGTTGAGGCTGGGGGGGCTCGGGGACAGCGGACACCCCCCCTCAGGGGAGCCCCGAGGCCGGGCGGGGGGTGCGGGACAGGGCCCCGGGGGGCGGGGGGGTACCGGGATGATGGTGGGGGGGCAGCGGGGACATCTNGGGGGGGCAGCGGGGACATCTCAAGGGGGGCTCCGGTACACGGGGGGGGTCTGCGGGGAGAGGGGGCAGGGGACACCCCCAGTGAGGGACCCCGGGCCCGGAGAGGGGGGCGGGGCCCGATGGGCGGGGGGTGATGGGGGAGACCGAGAGGGATTTGGGGGAGGGGGCTGCGGGAAGCTCCTTTTGGGGGTCCCTGGGTTGGGTTGGGGAGCTCGGGGCAGGGCCCGGGGAGTGAAGGGGGGGACCAGGGACTGCGGAGGGGATGAGCCCGGGGGTCGCGAGCCGGAGGGCTTGGGGGCTTTTCCAGCGGCCTGGCCGCCCCCACCGGGCTCCTCCCCGCCGCGACCCCCGCCCTAACCCGGGGGGACAGCGGGGGTTTGTCCTCCGCTCCTCCGGGACCACCCATCACCTCCCCCGGCCCGGGGAGCAGGACTCGGTTTGGGTGGGGGGACACAGCTCCCGGTGGTCCGAACCCTTCCGTTACTCCCTGGGAGCCTGCATGGAGCTGGGGGGATCCCCTGAGGTTTTGGGGTCCCCCCTTGTCCTCTGCGCTATTCTCGGGGTGCAGAGACACACCTCCCGGTTCTCTGCACCCCTCCATTACTCACCGGGAGCCTGCATGGAGCTGAGGGGTCCCCCCGAGGCTTTGGGGTCCCCCCGGTGACCCCATGTCCCCCCCATCTCCCCGCAGGGCCCCCGCCGACGGGACGCTGTGTCCGGCCGCCGGGCGCAGGGGGCTGTGAGCAGGTGGGTCCCTCTGTCCCCTCCCCTTCTGCCACACCCCCCCCCGACCCTGCCACCCTTGTCACCAGCCTGTCGCTGTCCCCGCAGGCCCCGCCATGCCCCAGGCCTCGGAGCACCGCCTGGGCCGCGCCAGGGACCCCGGAGCCGTGGTGACCGCACAGCCCCGGCCGGGCGCCCGCTTGCCCAGCGGCCACCGAGCGCTGAGCCAGGAGCGCCATGCGGCCCCCAACGGGCTGTCCCCGGCCCCCAAACTGCGCCTGCTGCCCCCCCGGCCCCCGCCGCCCCCTGAAGACCCCCGCCCCAAGAAGCTGGAGCTGGAACGGGGCCGGGCGGCCAAACGGGGGGACCCCGCTCCCCGCGGGCCGGGGGGTCGCCGGGGGCCGGTGAAAGCCGATCACGGTGTCAGGGTGCCCGGGGGAGCCCCGCAGGTGCCCGGCAGTGCCTCCTTCTCGCTGCCCAGCGCGGCCGAGCGGCGCCGGAGCAACTTGGCCCGCTCCAAATCCATCAGCATCGGGGACCTGAGCCAGGGAGGTGGCGGCGGCGGTGGCGGCGGTGTCCCCAGCCGAGCCGAGGACGTGGCGGTGGCGCTGAGCCGGCTGGTGCTCAGGGACTGCGGGCACCCGCTGGGCGCGGGCGCTCTGGCGCTCCGGAGGAGCTCCTCGCTCCGCAGGGTCACCGTGGCACCCGGGCCCGACGGCAAGGCCACGCCGCCGCTGCTCTCCGTGCGCCCCGAGGGCGGCCCCCGAACCCGCACCGAGCCCCCGTACGGCCACGGCCCCGGCAGCCCCGCGCCCGGCCGGACCGAGGACAAGGCGGCCGCCGTAAGAGCCTGGGGCGGGCGGGGGGGGGTGTGGCGTGGTCCTCGCGGTGTCCCCGGCCTCGGCGACACGTGGAGACCCCCGCGGTGTCCCCAGCTTTGGGGACGTGTCGAGACCCCCGCGGTGTCCCCAGCCTCAGGGACATTTTGAGACCCCCGCGGTGTCCCCAGCTCTAGGAACGATTTGAGACCCCCGCGGTGTCCCCAGCTCTAGGAACGATTTGAGACCCCCGCGGTGTTCCCAGGTTTGGGGACATTTTGAGGACCCCACGCTGTCCCCAGCTTGGGGACACCTTGCGACCCCCACGCTGTCCCCGCTCTCAGGGTCGGTGACATCGCCAGGGTGGGTGAGGACAGTGGTGGCGGTCTCACCTGTCCCCGCTCCAGTCCAGTTTTGGGGAGGGGTCGCTGCTGTCCCCCAGAGCTCCGGGGTGGCCGCGGGTCACCAGTGCCGCTCCTTGTGGCACTGAGGTGGCCGCGGGTGACCGGTGCCACCCCTGTGGGTGGCACTGAGGTGGCCGGGGGTGGCCGCTGCCCTCCCCGTTTCCGCATCCGCCTCCCCCCCTGCCCCATTCCTCACCTGCCCGGCCACGTGTGGGGCGATCGTAATCCCCAAAATCCCACCGCGACACCGCGACACGGCCTTGTCCCCTTCTTCGTGTCCCCAGCGCTGACACTGGGGGGTCCCACAGCCCCGCCAAACCCCCGAAACCCCTGGATTTAAACTGGGGAGGGGGGTTTTTTGGGGGGGGGGTGTTTACCTCGACACCCCTGCGAGCTCTCGCTGTCCCCCGGGGCAGCTCCGGCTAATTAATCCCCCCGGGATGAGCCTCCCTCGCGGGCCCAGAATAGCCGGGGGAATCGGATCAGCTAATGAGCTGAGAGGGGGAGGGGACACTCCGGTGGCTGCCAGCGGTGCCATCGGTCCCGCCGGTGCCACCCTCAGAGCCGTGGCCACCATGCCGGGGCTACAGGGAGCCACGCTGGTGGAGCTGCCGCGGAAGCTGCACCGCTCGCTGGTGACCCGGCGAGAGCTCCAGGGTCGGGCCACCGACATCTCCGAGTCCGTGGTGCACACGGCGGTCATGGGGCTACTGCTGGTCACCGGCGAGGTGAAGCCACCGGCGGCGGGGGACGGCCGTGGGGACGGGGCAGGCGGGGCGCGGCTCACGGTGTGTCACTCGCTGTCCCCTCAGACCCACCACACGCTGCTGCTGGGCTCGGGCCACGTCGGCCTCAGGAATTTGGGCAACACGGTAAGTGGCCGTGGCCACCTGGCTCCTCCCTCCGGGACTCTGTTTTTTGGGGTGTGGGAGGGATTTGGGGTTCCCCAGGCTCGGTGGCCACGGTCCTGTCCTGCTGGGATGTCACACTCCCATCCCCACAGCGCTGTCCCCACGGTCCCCAGCCCTCCTGTCCCTCTGTCCTGGGGTGCAGGAGGGATTTGGGGCTCCTTTTGTTGTCCTTTAAGGGTCCCTTGGTGTCCCCCGGGCTCTGTGACCACAATCCCATTCCCCCTGGGGACATCACATCCCCCCACAGGGCACTTGGGACAGCAGTGGGGACACCCTGAGGGTCCCCTTGGTGACCTGCCCCAGCCCAGGATGTCCCCATGTCCCCTCCGCAGTGCTTCATGAACGCGGTGCTGCAGTGCCTGAGCAGCACCAAACCTCTGCGGGACTACTGCCTGCGCCGGGACTTCCAGCAGGAGCAGCCCCCCGGCCCCCGCGCCCCCCAGGAGCTCACCGAAGGTGGGACAGCCCCCCCAAAAACCCCCTTAGCCCCCCGAGGAGTGTTACATAACCCTCCGGGTGGGGGGAGCTGACCCCGCCGTGTCCCCGCAGCCTTCGCCGATGTCATCGCCGCCCTGTGGCACCCCGACTCCTCCGAGGCCGTCAACCCCGGGCGCTTCAAGGCCGTGTTCCAAAAATACGTCCCCTCCTTCACAGGCTACAGGTGAGACAATCCACCCCCCCCCCCAACAACCCCCCTAAACAATTTGGGGACCCCCCCACCCTCCTCTCCTGGGCGGGTGGTCACCGAGTGTGTCCCCCCGCCCCGTCCGTGCAGCCAGCAGGACGCGCAGGAATTCCTCAAGTTCTTCATGGACCGGCTGCACGTGGAGATCAACAGGAAGGGCCGGCGCACCCCCAGCATCCTGTCGGACACGCGGAGACCCCCGGCCCTGGAGGACCCCGAAACGCTCAGGTGAGGGTGGGGGACAGGGTTGGTGGGCAGGGGGGACCCCGGTTTTGGGGACAACTCACTCCCCCCACCCCGATGTCACCCCCGGCAGCGACGACGAACGCGCCAACCAGATGTGGAAACGCTACCTGGAGAGGGAGGACAGCAAGATCGTGGGTGAGCTCTGGGAGTGGGGGTGTCCCCTCTTCTCCAGGACCCCAAAATTTCTAGAAGTGCCCTCCCTGAGTGCCCCTTTGCCCCCCCCAGATCTCTTTGTGGGGCAGCTGAAGAGCTGCCTCAAGTGCCAGGCCTGCGGCTACCGCTCCACCACCTTCGAGGTGTTCTGCGACCTCTCGCTGCCCATCCCAAAGGTAGGATCCCCAAAAACCCCTCAGACCCCCAAAAACCCCTCAGACCACCCCTCAAACCCCTCAGACCCTCCCAAATTCCCCCCTGACCCCACAAATTTCCCCCCCGACCTCCAGAAAAGCTTTGCCGGGGGGAAAGTCTCGCTCCACGACTGCTTCAGCCTCTTCACCAAGGAGGAGGAGCTGGACTCAGAGAACGCCCCGGTGAGAGAATGGACCCCCCCCCCAACTCCAGAGCCCCCCCAGTTTGTCCCCCAGCCCCTCCCTGACCCTCCTGTCCCCTCAGGTGTGTGACAAGTGCCGGCAGCGGACGCGGAGCACCAAGAAGTTGACGATCCAGCGCTTCCCACGCATCCTGGTGCTCCGTATCCTTTGGGAATCTGCACCCCCACCCACAAAGCTTTTTGGGTTTTTTTTTGGGGGGTTGGGGGAGGTTCAGGGGTCACCCCTCCATCCTCTCTTTTCCCTTAACCCTCAGCAGACCTGAACCGGTTCTCCACCACTCGCTACTCCATCAAGAAATGCTCCGTCTTCGTGGACTTCCCGCTGCAGCAGCTCAACCTGCGGGAATTCGCCAGCGAGAAGGCGGGTGAGGAGGGAATTCCGGGTGCAATTTTTGAGGTGCTGTGGGGTCGGGAGGAGGGGGACAGCGCTCAGCCCGACCCCCACCCCACCCTGCTGCAGGCAGCCCCGTCTACAGCCTGTACGCGCTGTGCAACCACTCGGGCAGCGTCCACTACGGTCACTACACGGCCTTCTGTCGCGACCCGGCCGGCTGGCGCGTCTACAACGACTCCCGGTCAGTGCCCCCCGCCCCAATCCGAGCCCCCCACCCTGCCCGGGGACCCCTCTCCGAGCCCCCTCCGTGGGTGCTGAGGGTATCCCCCGCAGCGTCTCGCCCATCAGCGAGAACCAGGTGCCGTCCAGCGAGGGCTACGTGCTGTTCTACGAGCTGGAGGAGCCCCCCGGCCGCAGACCCTGAGACCCCTCCCCACCCCCGGACCCCCGGTCTGGGGGTTTGGGGGGAGGGAGGTGGGGGGGGTGAACCCCTCCTTCCCTTCCCTCGGGAACCCCCCGGACCCCGCGGCAAGGGGGGTGCGGGGGGTGCGGCCGCAGCCCGAGCGGCCCCGGGGGGTTTTGTGAATAAATTTATTAAAAAAAACCCGAAAACCGCTAAGTTTTGACGGGGTGGTGTTAAAGGGGGTGGGGGTTGTGATTGACAGCGAATGTGGGCGTGGTTTTGTGTGGGCGTGGTCACACGAGAGTGACGTATCTGCTGATTGGTTGATTACTTGGTGGGCGTGGCTTATCGCCATGGCTCGCTTCCTCCCGCCGCGGGGAGCTGTCAATCAACGCGCTACGCCTTCCCATTGGTCCGTGTCCCTTAAGCCCCGCCCCTTCCCCTGATAAGCGGCGGGAAGGGGCGTGGCCAGCGCGGGTTGACTCGGGACCGGTGAGGGAAAGTCCGAGGTGGTCCCGGGGGGGGATTCCGGTGGTCCCGGGGGGCTCCCGGTGGCCGCTCTGACCCTGCCCGCCCCAGGTCCCCTCATGCCGCGGACCGTGGCCGTCGTGGGCGGCGGCATCAGCGGCCTGGCCGCCTGTTACCACCTGGTGCGCGCCCCCCACCCGCCCAAGGTGAGCGTGGGACCCCCGAATCTTCCATTTCCCTCCCGGTGTCCGTTCTGCTCCGGGATTCGCACTCTTCCGGGTCACCCTCCGG